TGTCTATCAGCCGTGAAAACAACAATGGGATGGACATTTCAGGGTCCCGTGACCTTGAAGAACTCAAGACGAAAGCAAACAAGCAGCAACGTGTGCGTGCTCAGAGCCGGTGCAACGGGCGACGATGAAGTAAGCTCGACCCTGCGGCAGTTCTGGGAACTTGAAAGCCTCGGCATCAAGGACTCAACGACCAACTCTGCTCACTACGAGTCTGTATTACGGGGTTTTGAGGAAACCATCACAATGACAGATGGAAGATACCAAGTTGCTCTTCCCTGGAAGTCTCAGAACCTAGGAGATCTCGGCAATAACAGAAAGGTGGCAGAGAAGAAACTGCAAGGGCTCTGCCATCGCTTGGCTCGAGACGAAGAACTTCTTCTGAAGTACGACTCTGCTATTAGGCAATACCTAAACGACGGACACGCAGAGAAAGTGACGGAAGAAACCAACGAAAAGGAAAATGTGTACTACATGCCACACAGAGCTGTTATCCGAGAAGCTTCAGCCACAACAAAGTTGCGAGTGGTTTTCGATGCGTCTTCGCACACTACAGGAGAGCTCTCGCTGAACGACCATCTGGAGAAAGGGCCTAATCTAAACAACGACATGCTGAAGATCCTCGTGAACTTCCGTTGTCACAGGATAGCACTAACAGCTGACATTCAGAAGGCTTTTCTTCAAATCAGCGTCAGACCTGAGGACAGGGATGCTCTTCGTTTTTTGTGGTTTGACAGCCCTCTCGTTCCTGGAGAAGAATTGCCTCCCATTCAAGAGTTTCGAATGACAAGAGTTCCTTTCGGGTCAACTGCAAGCCCTTTTCTTTTGACAGCGACATTGCAGCATCACCTGCGTTCGGTCGAGGGAGAAGCCAAGCCAACGGCGATGCACCTTGAAAGGTGTTTTTATGTTGACGAACTGATTGTGGGTGTCTCATCATACGAAGAGGCGCAGAAACTCTACGATGACTCCACGGAAATACTTGCCAAGGCGGGAATGAGGCTTCAAAAGTGGTCGACGAGCTCAAGGGAACTCAAGTGTCACATTGAAAAGACAGCGGACGAAACGTCTACTTGTGCTGAATCGTCAGGTCTGACAAAGGTACTGGGAATTCTTTGGGACACCGAACAGGACAATCTTCAGGTGAACTTACAGTCACTGTCACACTTCGTCGAAGAAAGAATGGATACGAAGAGGTTCGTTCTTCAGACCACTTCGAGGCTCTTCGACCCTTTGGGACTGCTCTCTCCATACAGCATCCGAGCCAAAATTTTGTTTCAGCATATTTGGGAGAAAGGAATCGACTGGGACACCTCATTGCCAAATGATTTGCGTGAGGAATGGCTTGCATGGTGCGGCGAGCTTGTTGAACTTGGCTCTCTTTCGGTCGACAGATGCTTCTTGGTGACAGAGGGAGCAGTTAAGTCCAGACAACTCCATGTTTTCACGGACGCAAGCACTCAGGCGTACGGAGCTGTGGCCTACATGCGAGTCGACGACACTAACGGAAACACCAGCGTACGGCTTGTGATGTCCAAGGCACGTGTTGCACCTTTGAAGAAAATGACTTTGCCACGTCTGGAGCTCCTCGGCGCTCTTATCGGATCAAGGTTGATGGCTTTCTTGATTGAGACATTGGATTTGCCTGACCTGGAATGCCACCTTTGGACAGATTCTACCATCACCCTCAGTTGGATTCAGGCATCGGCAAGCAAATGGAAGACATTTGTGTGCAACAGGGTCGTGGAGATCCAAAGCAACACCGACCCCCTTCGGTGGCGACACTGTTCAGGAAAGGACAACCCCGCGGACATGCTCACCCGAGGAGTACCCGCCTCCAACCTGACCCTTTCCAAGGTGTGGTGGCAGGGCCCGCAGTGGTTGTCACGTGATCCAGATTTCTGGCCTCAAAGAAGAGAGACGAACGACGAGGTTCCGGATGCTGACGCAGAGCTAAGAGGCAAAAGCACGGTGCTGCTCAGCAAAACAACCGTACAAGGGCCTCTCCTCGTACTTACAGACTACAGCAAATGGCTCAAGGCAATGAGGGTGACGGCGTGGATCATGCGATTCATTAAAAACTTGCAAGGCATGGGTTCAAGAGTCAGCGGATCTCTGTCCACCAATGAATTGGAGGAGGCAGAGAGATACTGGACGAAACATGTTCAGGGAGAGAGCTACAGCGAAGAAAAATCAAGCCTCGTCGCCAGTGACCGCCTGCGGTCGAGCTCGCGTGTCCGGGACCTGCACCCTTTCTTGGATGAAGACGGTGTGATCCGCATTGAGACTCGACTGCAGAATGTCTCGGCACCCGACGAGACGAAGTTTCCGGTGCTACTTCCGGGAGACAACCGTTTCACGGAGCTCCTCGTTGAGCACACGCATGTTCGCATTTTGCATGGTGGTGTGAGTGCTACTCTGTGTGAACTGCGGGAGCACTACTGGGTTGTGAGAGGGCGACAGTGCGTAAAACGAGTGATCGGACGCTGTAAGATGTGTCTTCGACTCAAGCTTAAGCCCATGACCGCCCCGATGGCCCCTCTGCCTGAAGACCGCGTGACAAAGGCAGAACCGTTCGAGGTCTGTGGCGTGGACTTTGCTGGACCGATGTTCGTGAAATTCGGAACAAACAGTGTCAAGGCATATATTCTTGTATTCACATGTGCTGTTACGCGAGCGATACATTTAGAACTTGTCCTGGATATGTCTACCAACGCCTTTCTAATGGCTTTCAGACGCTTTGTGTCAAGGCGTGGGTTGCCGCGAATGATGTGTTCAGATAATGCACTGACTTTCAAACGAGCTGCTAAAGATCTAAAGCAGATGTACGATGTGTTATGTAGTTCCGAATTGAAAGACTACTGCACCACCCACCGGATCACTTGGAGGTTTATCGTTGAAAGAGCTCCATGGTGGGGTGGTTTTCGGGAGCGTATGGTGGGATCGGTTAAGAGTTGTCTGAAAAGAAACATCGGCAAGGCTGCGCTTGATGTCGATCAGATCACAACTGTACTAACGGAAGTTGAGGCTGTGATCAACTCTCGACCAATGACGTATGTCTACTCCGAACCAAACGAACCAAATGTCTTAACTCCTGCTCACTTCCTTTGTGGTAGGAGGCTAACCACATTACCTCATCATAAAAGAGGAGACGTGACATCCACTCGAACGGAGTTGGTTGGGAGATGGTCACACCGCCAGCGATTGATGAATATGTTTTGGAACAGGTGGGCTAAAGAATATCTGTATAACCTACGAAGTGCGCATGCTCGTAGGCCTCAATCCAGCAGCGGTCTCAATGTTGGTGATGTCGTAATTGTGCATGACGACCACGTTCCTCGATTGTTTTGGAGAACCGGCAGGATTCTGGAGTGTTTCCCAGGTCGGGACGGAAATGTGCGAGCCTGTAAGATAAAATTGTGTAACGGCTCAGAGGTCAGGCGCCCTGTTCAGCGTCTATACCCACTTGAGATGAGCTGAGCTAATCTGCGGGGAGGATGTTGCGGATAGAGTTTTCACGCGCCACCTCGGTCTACTGGCTCGTATACCACAAATCACTTGAGCCGCGGCGAGGGGGCACGGAGTTTGGAAACCCGACCCAAAGACGTTTTCGGAGAGTGTTTAGTCTACGTGGTCGGTGTAGTGTTTCATGACCAGGAGAGAGAGAAACGGGGGAATTTCTGGGTTGCCGGGGTGTGGCTCGCTCTCTTTGTGTTGGGTCCTCCTAAAGGAAAGACGCGGTTAACGCGTCTTCTGCTCGAAACTGTCTTTATAGCAATGTAACTTTCAGTGTGTACCTTTAATAAACAGTTATTCAGTTTGTCCAATCTGGTTCTACAACACACTGAAGAAGAAGAGGAGATGAGATTATGGGAGTGACGTCAGAAGGCCGAGATCTGATTGGAAGAATTAGAGCGTAGAAGTAGAGGCTAGCTGCATTTGTATCTACCCACGGTCTCCATCCAATCAGCGTGAAGAAGCACGTCGTCTGTTCCTTGTGCAGGTTTTCGCGTTCGAACGCCGAACGCCGGCGTCCGGAGTTTGGCGATGGAACGCGTTACCCACATATTGGGTAATGACGGCACGTAAGATTACATGCGGCCACAACGGGCGCTTCCCTCGACCTCGGCAAAAGCAAACGACCTTTCTGAGCCAGAAGCTTATGCTCTCTTTTATTGTGACAATTGTCAGTGAACCGTTCTTTCATTCTTACAAAATAAGACACACAAAGAAGAAATAAACGCAAAAGAAGAAAAACAAAACCGCTGTATTGTTTGCTATTGTATTGCCACCATCTGTCGGTTGTTGCGCCAATCAGACGCCCTTCGAGAGCAGACAGACGCCGTAGGTCGCATTCATGTCTGTTTTTAGTTGTTTTTTTTTTCTTTTAAGTTTTTTTTACTAAGGTTTGTGTAGTAAAATCTTGATACAGCCTACCGAGGGACCCCCTCGGTAAACTGTAGCGTTTTACGTTAATAAACCGATTTAAGTGATCCCTTTAAACAATCAACGATCCGTTTGACTCGCGCGGAATAGGCACACCTGTAGAATGCAAGAGTGTACTTGAACTGCTCCGTCAACGTCTGCCTTTGCTTTTCACCGTGGGAAAGAGGAATGCCTCAGGACAGTGGCCAACTGGCTCGGCGCGTTTGTGTTTACACCATGCGCACACGGTTGGCGATCACGCTACTTGAGAAGCACACCAGGAACCGTTTGAAGCGGGAGAACGCGCCGCACGCAATTTATGGTTTCTAGCGGCTTACAGCCAGAGACCCAGATCCGCTCTTCAAGGTTCCCATGCATTAGTGCTTCGCGTATACGTGTTCGTACGGTCAATCCGGCGCGCGACCTTGCAGGTAGCCCGTTCGACTCCCTTAGCAAGGCGTATAAACGGTCGTGCATATGCGAACTTAAGACGCCGTGGGATAATACGCTTGCGGCTGAACGATATAAAAAAACAACAACAATGAACTGGGCAATGAAATTTTAATTATATGCGCACATTAAAGTGGGCTCGCGGACCACGGTGTACCCTGCATGGGCTGTTCACATGGGTAGCGTGCGTTTTCGGTTCCGGTTTTCCCTTCGAGGAGACTCTTACCCGTTTCGAGATAAAATATACCGGATTCGTGTTTTATTCTCACTGTGTATTTAACCCAGAGGAACTCGAGCTCTTTATCCTGTCGTTGAACCAAAGCCGCAAAAGCGGCTTTGGCAGAGAAGGATGTTAAAAGGATAGATAATATGTGTGAGTGAGTAGTGAGAGGTCCTCATAAACTCGGAAATCGATGTTACACAAGTAAGAAGATAGCGCGGTAGGCACGTTACTCTCTAGCGAAAACTCGGGTTTGATGGCTGCGACAGAATAAAACCCATCGTATATATTTCATTTTTTCCGCAAATAACCCTATTGAGAAAAGAACGACTTTATTTACAATATGTTCAATGAATATACCAGAACTTATCTAATCTGTATAAATCGCAAATAAGGTAGGCTGTATAATGCGCAGATAACGCAATGGTATTAAATAATGTATCTACCTGCGTTGGAAAGAATGGGACAAGGGTCTTGAAATTAGTGTGCGCATATTGGGACGTACACATGCAGCCTCCGTGACCTGAAGAGAAAGCTGAAGAGATGACCGTCTCCATAACTAGATCTATATCTTTTTCTTTTACATCTTGAAGTCGAAAATTTTAGGAGCTACTGCTGCTCCACGTGATTTCAGTCACCTTAGAAGAAGAAACCGAGCTGGTTTCGAAATGCCGAGGTGCCTTTCGAGGTTTGGTTGGAGCTACATTTTTCGAACTTTAATTCTCATCCAACCAGGCAGAGTTCTTCCGAATATGCTTACATTCAAATATTGTGACTTGTCTCAGAGTTACTCACTAACACCCGCGGCTCACTGCTAGTTTAACACTTTAAAAGAGGATGTCAGAAGAGACCTTTTGTGACTCCAGTAATATATATATATATTTGCAGCATAATTCAGTAGAAAAAGATAAAGGGAGGTTTATGAATGTATGACAGCACTTTATGGCGAGTGTACCCCCATCATGCTAAAAAGTCAACGTTTGGAGCAAGCAGTTTAAGTGATGTAGAGAGTCCACTGAAGGTGACCCTCACACTAAACGACAGGTGTAAAAAAGAAAAAAAAACTTTCATTAAAATATGCAAGAAAGTCGATGATTTAATTTTGTCAGACGGAAAGAGTTGTTCTTTTTCGAACTGCTGAAGTCTGGGAAATCATTCGTAAAATTCGTGCATGTCAATGATTGGTATAAGATGGGTCCCATGAACGCTGACGCCACGTCAAAAAGCCATCAGGCTAGCGTGCTGCCAGGGAAACAGAGATGCTCGGTGAAGACCGAGCGTTTTTGTTTCGTGGTTTGATGGGATCAGATTTGAGTCACAGAGTCCCCCAGTCCAAAAATTGAGTCGACGCACTAGAAGCGTCATCACCCATCCCAAGAAAGTTACAGACAGAAACATCTAATTGCAACTGTCTTCGGGGATTCTGAAGGACTTTTGATCCTGAACTTGATGGCACACAAGTCAACTATAGCAGGGGAAAGTATCACCAACGCAATTACAGTTTTGTAAAAATCAATAAAAAAAGACAAAAAACAAACAAAAAAACTTCATGGCAACAGGCGTGTCCTTTCTTCACGACAATGCAGTGGTTCACATGTCACGTCGACCATATGCTGGCATCCGTGAATGTTTCCATCTGCTGAACCATACACCGCATGCTGTCCTGACCTAACACCCCGGGTTATTTTCTTCTCTTGAGTTCTGAAGCAATATCTCCGTGGACAGCGATTTTCGAGTGATGAAGTGGTCAAGGTAGCTGTGACATCCTGGCCTGAAGGGGAAACATACGGCTTTCTTTTTTTCATTCCAGGAAAATATTATGAAATGTATAGAGCTACCAAAAAACTAAATTAAAAAAAAAAATGAACTGGAAGTTTTTGTTTTGTTTTTTTCCTTTTGAGGTAGATATATTATTGGATTCCGCTATGCGCTTACAAGATCTGGTATGTTTATATATGTTTATTAGACATATTGATATAATTGCTTTCCCTTTAGGAAGTTATTTTCGCACCTGGTTGCTCGCTCGACTAATTTCAATACTCGTAGTAAATAAGTCTAGAGCGTGATTCACAAAAAAAAAAGAAGAAGAAAGGCGTGGACAACATTTTGTTTATAAAGGACGGTTTCACGAAAGGCCTTTTAAATTTCGGTAGGCAGCGTTCGCCATGTTGATAAACAGTGTTGTTGAGCAGTGCCGGTGAAACGCAGAGGTATTTCAAGTGATTCAGACGACCCCAAAACTCGGTAAGTACGACCGTAAACGTGTTTATAAGCCTATGCATACTCAGTTCTTTTCTTTTTAATTTTTTTTGTTCTGTTTTTGTTTAGCTTTTTCTTTTAGAATCGCCGCGGCGTTATTCACAGGGCCTATTTTGGCCGCCGACGGGTCGACTTCTCGATCTCCGTCTAGCCTTAAGCCCCAAAAAATGTCGTTATGTATAAAAGCAGAGTACCAGCCGATGCTCCTTTATGTTCCCGACTACTCTGGCCCGGTGAGACGATCACGATGCCAAAGGACTCGAGTGATCTGGAAATCACTACCCCCCGGGGGCGCGTAGAAACTCGTAGGGGCGAAGGTTTTGTATCAGAATCTCGCTGGACACCATACTGATAGTATGGCGTCCAGCGAGATTCTGATACAAAACCTACATCACGTGAAACCGCACCTATTGGTGCCGAGATGTTTCGGTGGCGCCCTCTTATGGTTTCCATCCCTGACGTCACGACTGGGATTTGCCTCGCCGTGACGTCACCAGTTGTTATCCTGGCAACTTACCATCAGGTGCGACGACGAGTTCGGTGGTTTGTTTAAAAAGCACAGTGGAAGCTAGGAGCCATCGCGATCCGAAACTAACACCGTCAAAGTTGACAATCTGACAATGCTCATATGCCCAAGGTCTGGCCAATCGTGGAAGGCTGAGCGCAGCGGCGCTTTTGGTCGCGCACATCACTAATAGATTGCGCAGCAAGTACTATTTCAAAATAAACGCGTCGTTTTCTCGTTTCACCTTCGCGTCTCGGTGCCGTTCACTGTTTCGTAACGCCGCTCCCCACACCGCCCTTGACGCGCACGGTATGCCCAGGAATAAATGCGAGGTGAGCGATAAACCGGACGACGGCCTAACGGGCTTGTTTGTGTCGGACCCGTTTGTTGGGAATCGGGGAAGATCGTCGCAAAGTCGGACGTGCGGACCTTGTCAACGTCGTCTGGGGCTCCCGACGGCCGCCAAGGGCGTAGCCAACGAGGCGCGGTACCCGATTAGCGCAGCGTTTTCTCTCAACACAACTTCTTACGTTCCACGTGACTTTTAAGTCCGACTGCAGGCAACGTTACGACTCGATGGGGCCAATCAAGAGCCACCAGAAGTACATCGTTACGGTGCCGATCATCGTCGACAGTTTGATATTTGAAACCCATGTTATGGACTAAAAAAAAACAAAAAAACAGGGCGCGGATTGGCCAAGAAAAAAAAAACAAACACGCCTTTTGGGTAACACTCGTCGAATTATGAGGCGCTGGAGAAAACCAGTCTTCTGCGTTAAGCCCTTATTTCGAACTGTTTTTGTTCGCGTTCCACCCATTGAAAAGCATGCGGGAAGCGCCTCAGGACGTACCTCTTATCGCTGCGCCGCGGTGTTCTTCCGCTGCATTAAAGGCCGTCTGCTTTCATCGCCGTTACCATGGCAACGAACGCCGAATGCCTTTTCGGCGTCCGGCGTTCGCCCTCGCCTGCGTTCACGCCGCTTCCCGGCGGCAGTCTACGGTTGCTCATTTACGAAACTATTAAACTAGCAGACGGCGTTCGGAAAATCGACGTTCGTTGCCATGCTCACGGCGATGAAAGCAGGCAGCCTTTATGCTGCGGAAGAACCGAATCACCTCGCTTTCGTCATCAAATGTGCGGGAAGGTGAACTGAACCTATAAGCTGCCGCGTTCGAAGTCCCCTCGGGTAGGCGGTTCAACCGCCAATGTGAATGAGCCCTTAGACTAAAGTACTGCTTAACCCTCTTCGACAAGAGGCATCTGAACAACAGATAGAATGCCCACGAAGAATATATGTGGAATAAAAGTGGTTTAAGCAGTACCTAGACGCGTTGTTTCCGTTTGCTTGTTCTTTTAATATTGCATTCTTGTATTGCCCAAAAAACGTTGGCCATTTTTTTTCTCGAATGTGTGAGTTGTTAGCTATTTTATATCCCGTAGTAGTAAAGTGCTGACTCCACGATAAAGCCGACGAGAGCAGTTTTTGGAGCACCGTTAACTTTTTTTTATTATCCGCGAGGGACCGGAGTCGCGCGGACGCGGCGGGCGGCAGCAAATCTGAACGGCGCGGTCTTTTTCCGCCAAGCAAATTTGGTCGGCGGCTGGAATGCTTTCCGCAAGTGTAAACGAGGGATCGTGCGAAGGCACAAGACGACCCCCGGGGCAGGCTAACATCTCGCTCTCTAAACCCAAATGCAACACGATTGCGTCTACATCCACGTGTTGAAAAACAAGTGTGTTGCATGTATGTTGACACAGCGGATGTTTTTCTGCCTCACGGTGCATTTCACGTCGTCGCAGTATTATGCCCGAGACCCGCTAAGGCGACAAACAGAAACACCTTCACCGGCAAGCCTCGAACACGTGCAGCATGCTCGCGAAGGTATCTTCGGCAGGTTTGCATTCACTGGTGCTTACTTCACGAGCACCGGGAGATCGCAAGCTCGAAAAAGTTTCATAGCGTATACGCTGTACGTGTTGGAGGCTTGTCGGTGGTTTCTGTTTGTTTCTCTAGTGGAAATTAGGCATTAGTCACATGCGCGACAAAACACGTTTGGTTGCCCTTTCACAATTCGCCAACATGTCAAAATGACGTCATTTTAGTTTGATATGCTTTTGCTTTCATCGGTGTAAATAACGATAATTCCTGAACCTCCACTTTGACGGTAATGCTGTTGAACACGCTCTCCTCGCAAGTTTTCATCAAATCTTTTTTATACGCACACCATAAGATTTGTCGTTCGGAACACGAGATTTCTTCAGAATCACAACCATTCAGATAAACCATTATCTATGGTAAACATCTGTTTTGACGCCACGAGGAGAAATCGTGGAGGACTCCACCGGCGA